AACAGCAGTACGTTTAATTTCTCATCCATATGCTGTGAATGTACCAACCTGATTAACACCTTCTACTTATATGTGATCATTTAAAGTGAGTTAACAATCTAACTTGCACCATCTTTGATGCATTCCCACATGTGCTGTTGATGAGATTGTTTACAGCTCCGTCGCTGTGGGGGGTTCGAAAGCGTCCTCAGTTAAACCCTGTTGTCTTTAACATTCCAAATAAGCAATTAAGCTAATTGGTAAGATGACTCTTTGTGATCTATTGTGGAGGAGGATGATGATGATGATGGGGCGGCCCTCATCAGGCCTCTCTCAGGCCTGATTCGTTGGCCTTACATTGTAATCTGCTTCAGCAGGCACACTCTTGCCCTCCCCATTAGGACTATCCCCAGAGGAGAGCCTTTTCCTGCATTACACTGTAACAGGCTTGTTAATAATACATTAATGAAGAGCTGCTCCTCCAGATTAGGTGCTGGCCCCTTGATAATGGGGAGCTGGAGGAGGGCCAGGCAATCACCTCACTGTTGTAATCTAACCTTGGGTTAAATAAGCTTTTGTTACTGAGAGAGGGAGAGAGGCAGAGACACAGATAGAGAGAGTATGTGAGGGAGGAGGGCAGAGAGCACTCGCCCAAGGAAATGTAAATGACTCTTTTGTCTCAGACATGAGCGAAAATATGAAATGGTGAGGAAGCAGAACTAAAGCTGGCTGCTGTTTGTGTGTTACCGTACATAATTGTGTGGCAGGAACACAATTACCAGATGCTTTTGGAGATGACAGGTGATTGTTGCTCCCTGCCTGTGAAGTGCTTCAGACAGAGGTAAAATGCAGCTCTGTCAGCAAGTGCATGGAAGGGATCGTTCCCCGTATGTCAGATTATTTCTCTGCTCTGTGTGAGTGACGGTCCACGCTTTCGCACAAGATGTTCCGCTCCGGGTTTGGGAATGTATCTTGATGCTCACAATCAACAAACAATAAACACAGGAAAAAAAGCCAAAGAGTTTGGCTTAAATATTTTAAATACTCTGCACGCTTTTTGAACCGTATCCCACTCTCAGGATGTATACACTTGTCTTATGTTCGTGAGTGTGTGTGTGTGTGTGTGCGCGCGCGCTTGTGTGCTGTTTTGGCAGCCTCTTTCCCCCCACTGTCTGTCTCCTAATAGAAATCTTGATAGAAATATCAGAAGGAGATTTTAATCACAGGGGTGCTGTGCATGCTTACTTATCTGAACCACAAAGGAAGAAAAGATTTCCCGCTGATGCTGTCACCCCTCTCATGCAGCAGCAGCAGCAGCAGCCTCTGTCAGGCAGAAATGTGCCTAAAGACACATCTCCCATTCAGGCTATGTAGCACTTGCCAAAGTGAAGCAAACTTAACAGCCGCCGAGAACAAACAGAATGAGGAAGCGATAGGAAAATAAGATTGAATGAAATGTTTCCTAGAGTCAAATACAGTATGTTAAAGGAGGGCCTTGAGAGAAAACATTCAGGGGGAGAAGGTAAACACAACTATTAAGTTTCTAACTGAGACAGAGAGCACAGGGAATTTCGATTGTGCTTTTGTCTCCTCTCCTCCTCCTTCTCTCCTCCAAACATTGCCTTTGTTTAGTTTTGTTGCTTTGGGTGTCTTTATGGGGACAAATTTTCAAACCCACAACACAAGCATTTACTATCAGCTTCTGTAGATAAAACACAAACTCTTGTTTGAAGACTTTTCTGTGCTCTGTAACTCCAACGATCCAGTGGATTGGACAATGAATCGGTAGAAGTTGGGTTGTGGCTTTTTGGTCCACTAACATTGAGTCATCTTTGAGTTTAGATTACAACAGATCGTTTAAAATAGATCTGTTTTTATCTTGTATTTGCTATAACAGTGGGTTGTGAATGCTACGCTGATGGGTTTTTTTTATTTTATTTTTTTAAGATAATGAGGTGTTAAATCAGTCTGGGGCAGTCTGTGGGATAAACCTATAGACCGTAAATACTATGGACAACTTGGCTCCGCCTTCCATCATTATACAAATTTGAAGCCAAATTGCTCTTGGTATTTCCGTGATTTTCTTTACTTCCTGGAACCCCCACTTGCGCAGTAGTGTTGTGCGCATTCGGCAGGAGAACCGTTGTAATAAAGCTCAGCTCAAACTGCGTATCCCCCAGGTGAGCTATGTAATTATTGTACTCCCAAAGGCTGTATCAAGTGTCAATCATAGAAAACATGAACCCCCTAATAACTTTTAAAAATGGAGCTGTACAGAAAAAAGAGGACTTGAGCACAAACCAGTCTTACAGTAACTTCATGTCAACATCACAACTGGGGGGAGAAAAAAAATTATATTCTGTGTAATTAATTTCTGAAGTTTGTCCACAGCTCCATAGGGATTACTGGAGGAGATGGGAATAATGACCTATTCTGCTGCCTGTCACCAGAGGGTGCTGTTCTTGTGGTGGCTTCACCCAGCGAGGAGGCAGACGGTGTCCGTTCTATTTACAGTGTATGATTTAATCCCACTCTTACAGGCTGTGCCGTTATGCAAAAAAGTCATGCAATATCTTTTTTTTTTTTTTTCTTGTGCATGATGCTTTTTGCTAGCTTGCTCAAAAAAGCAAACTGGAAAGTAGTAGTAGTAAACTATGAAACTATGTCACATCTGTTGTGAATCAACTTTATAATTAAATGATAAGGATTTCCCATCTCTGTGCAGCTCATCATGTATGAGGAGAAAGTTCAGCACTGTCAGGACATAGGGTCACAGCTTTGAGCAGCAGAGAGTGGAAATGCTGCTGCAGGGTGATCTTTTCCGGAGTAAAACACAACACTGGTGGAAACTGCAAAGAGGTGGCCTGAAGTTCACTTCAAATATGACAATGATTGTAATGAGTGTATGGCTGGTAGTACATGATCATATGAACTTGTTGGTAAGTTGTTCACCGTGACAGCAACATAAAGGTGCCCCAATCAATAATCGAAAGATGGCATTTATTCATCCTGAAAGGCCCTGATTTGGGTTGTTATACAGAGCCAAGCCTCAGATTGAATACTGGTCTTTGAGAGTTTACTGTGTAATATGTACTGCTGTTGTGAGCAGGACTTGTTTTTTTACAGTTAAACATTAGGACTAGCCTGGTGTTACCAGGCTCATCAGCCGGCTCATTTCATTTTCTCTGATAGGAGGGTTTGGACCCGCTGCCATTCTGAATGATTTTCTTCTGCTCTCAGATATATTGGACCAATCACAGTCCTTAATTTGGAAAAAAACAGGTCCTATGAAATGACAACCTAAGTGTAGCCTACCACCTTAACACCAACAGCCCTCAGGAAACAGGAAACGACTTCAATAGATCAGGAACTATTCACTAAGGTAAACGGGTCTGATGGCACTGATGAAGATTGAACCACACTGAGCATAAAAAACCTAGATCTAGAAAAAAAGCCACAGTTATGCCAGTATAAAAATGAACATCTATTAGAGAAAACTTGAACCTAGAGGAGAAATAGGTAAACATCTTACAAAGATAAAGTATTTTGTTTTACTAGAATAAAACTGTCATTTTATTCAACAGAAGTTGTGATTACAGTCTATGATGAATCTACACATACAATAGTTGATATGGTATTTGTGGGCATATCAGAAGAGCAGTCAGCCACATGCACTGAAATGAGGAACGTGAATCATTTTGTGAAGTTACTCTTCACATTTGAGGACAAACATAGATGTTCACAGACTGCATAATAGCCTAGTTTCTAATAACCAGTTTCTTTCACATCTATTGAGTTCCCTGACTGTTTTGTCAGTGGGGTGCTGACGGGCTCAAAGGCTGGATATCAATTCATTTATTAAACCTGCACTTGCGCACGTGCGCATGACATAATGTAATAATATGATGTGTAATCGGATACTGGAACACCAATGTTGCACCATTGTGGGGTTCAAAAGCACTATGATATAGGACCCATACAGGATCAGGTCTTTACTTTTCTTTGTCCATTCTTTGGCTTTTCTGGTTTCGGTCTGATTTCACCATTGCAGCTCTGTTTATCATGTTGTGTAGTACCCACAGTCCATCTTTTTAAGGGACTGTTCATATTCTGGAGCAATATGAGGTTGATCAAGTTTGTTAAATGAACCAGACTTCGGGCTCCATGTCCTCTAGATATTCTTAGAAAAGTAAAAACTAGTGGGGATTCATTGGATTGGTTAGATCTGGGAACAAACACCCTTTGTGCAAAGTCTCAGGTAAAATAGGCCAAGTGTACATTCAAGACCACAGATCAAAGTTGATTTTGGAGCTCATTTCTTGGGCCATTCAGGGTTAGTTCCATTAACTCAAAACGACCTCTTGTACTTCCAAGCTGAAACCTTAATATCTGGATCTGTAAAGTTACTGCCAAAGAACTTGACTAAACCCGAGACACGTCTTTTACTTTTGTCTGTAATAAATAAATAACGGCACAAATAAAACTTGCGGGAGTGGATTAAAAATAAAGACGGGTCTACTGGAGGAAAGTCAGTCATGTTCAATTAAGCCCTAACAACCAATGTTCTCTCTAAAGTTGGGGTAATTTGAAGCTCCCTGATGTTTTCATACAGGCCTTTTCTACTCATCTCCACATAAAAGGGGGCAGTTCTGAAATTGTTGTCCCAAAGTAAGTTCTAAAAGACCTTCAAATCATTAAGTGTGAGTTTTCAAAGAGCTGCCGATTGAAAGCCAATGGGAAAGTCCTCACACTTTTATCTTGGATGTTAAAGAAAAAGATGAGGATCTTGAGCCTGGGCCTTTCAGATAAGTGAATATATTTAATTTTTGAAAGAATCACAGAGTTTGTGCCTTTGGTCCTCATGCCTACTGGGACCAAGGCGTGAAGAAGTCAAAGTTTTTTTTCTTCTCCCCCTCTCTCTCCATCTCTCACCCTGCTGTACTCATAAAGAGGAATAGGCCCTGAAACCTCACTGGGCCTTTAAGTTGATTTATTTATCAGGTCTACTCTGCTCCCGAGTGATGGCTGTGTGTGATGGATACCCAGGGGTTGGTCTTCGCAGAGCATCCACAAACCTCCCCCCTCCTCCACCTCGTCCTCCTTTCCCCCTCTCCACTCCCTCATCGTGGCATCAGAGCTCAGGCCTGACACTGGGCTTTCATCGCAGGGGCACGACTCAGGCCCCTGCTCCTAATGAATGCCGAGCTGCAGCCTCTGCTGCTGCTGCTTGCATTTGCAAGAATAGGACTGACCAGGTCATTAAACACAAGCAGGTTAGGTTCCCACAAGTCCCCCAACCCCACTGCTGTGTGGCTCAGACGGGGAGCCATGCTGTACCATCCTACCCATATGCCACAGCTGTTTGTTTAGCCCTGGGAGAGCTCCCTGACACCTTGCCAAAACTGCACTCCAAGAGACTCCTGGAAACCACACATCCAATACAACAAAAATAACTCCCTCATCATCTAGATATGGAAAGAAGACACATCGAATAGACTGTAAGATTGGGGAAAAAAACACTCCTTCTCTTAAAAATACAACTTTTAGGCGTCCCACTGCTGAGAGTCCCAAAAAGTCCTTTTGTTTTTGTTCTAAAATGGCTACTGTTGGTTACAGAAAACACTTGTTTGTTGTTGTTTGGTTTACGCTCCCATGTTTCAACATGTTTACGGCACAGGGACCCGCTCATAGAGAGAACATCTGGCTTTTGTGCATAGCTGAAAGAGCACACATATATTATACATGACGCTCTGTACATCTGCCAAAGAGCCAGCCTGTATGTTCCTCAATCAGTGCAAACACAGGAACACATGAAAACACACAATTTTTCTAGCATTTTTAACCAGCAGATGATATCCTTTCATATTCAAATCTCCAAAATAACTCCAAACTCTTTATTTGTAGAGGAATCTTCATAACTGGATTCTCAGCTTGTATTTTGGAGCAGCCGCTGAAAATATTGAGTTGACTTATTGAGGGAAATCTCAGGGAAAACAGATGGTCTGCAAATGTCAACACCTCAACACCTGAATTCTATCAATAATTACACTTTGCCTAAGTTGAGAGGTAAAAAAGCAAAAACCAGCTCCTCTATTAAATCCAGAAACTAGGCCTATGAGAACTTTGTAATTATAATTATCATAATCATCATTACTATTATCATTATTAGTTTTTTTTTTTTGAGGATGAATGCTTGATTCAATTTACCAGACCTTTATCCAGCATGACAGCCTGTAGCAATGCAAGTGTGTAAATCAATAAATTCCTTCTCATGGGCTCTTTTTGGCTGAATGACCATGCAAAAATAAAATCAATATTATACAATGCATGAAAATGCTTCAACCTGCCATATTTCAACACCAAATTGTCCAGAATTATGTGCACTCTAAGAGCCCCCCCCAACACACACACACACACACACACACACACACACACACACACACACACACACACACACACACACACACACACACACACACAGTAATTCCTCTGGGGTCTGAGTTAGAGAGGTTCTGCTCACCATCTGTTTCACTTATGATTCAAAAAGCTCACCCATCTTTTCAGAACTACAAGAGACGATGAAAAGTAAAGATGAGGTGATTTTCTTCAAGATTCAAAAATCAACACTGAATCTACCAATTAAAGTAAGATGACGAGAGAAGGAACATAACATTACAATGACCACAGATAAACAACCCAATCTCCAGTTTCAGCTGGAAACATAATGCCTGCATGGTTGTGTGGTGGTTGGTTACATGGTTACAACACAACAGAAAGTTGTTGATGTTGATCACGTCTTTGCATTTTGTACACTGCAACAAATGAAATACATTTTGCTTCTGGCATCTTAAGCATAATAAAAAATTCATAGTTATGTTCAAAGTTAAACTGTTACACTCATCATAAGTTTTTTCGATCAAAATACACACAACCAAAGTACTTGTTTGGCTCCAGGAGTTGGAACACTGGGACGAGATCAATGGAAGAACAGCAGGACTTGTTAAACAGTCATTAGGGCTGAAACAAACAGTTCAGTCTGATGAACAGATTCGTACCAAATAAGCTCTTTGTACTTCCCTTCAAAATAAGAGCATCCCAATTCCAAGGTTAAGTGGTCAAATTGCTCTTTTTTAGAATCCATGGAGTGTAGGGAGACTCCTATTTAGATGTTCTCTTTAGGTTTTATTTCTACGAAAGGAACCCAGATTATCTTTATTGACTTATTTTAAAAATGTATTCATTCAGTATGTTTATATGCGGAGTGAAATTGAGCTTCATAGCTTGACACAGCAATTTAATTGGAGTACTGTTATTCAGTAGTCTGTTACATTTTTTTCTTTTAAAAGGTCAATCAAGGGCATTGGTATGACTCAAAGTTGACTTTCAGAACACGTTGTTTGCACGTTAGTCTGACTGGTAAATCAAATTTTTATTGTTTGAATAACATGCATAGATGATGCAGAAGGGGACTGATCTTCTCTTGCATGTTTACACCACAACTGGACTGAAACTGGCCTAAACATTCGGCACATGCTCCACAGTTCACATGTTGGACTGTGGCCTAGAAGTTGAACCTCAAAATATTGGATAGTCAAAAAAAAAAAAAAACTTTGACAGAAGCAGAAGACGGTATGTAAGATAAAACAAAGCGGACGTGTCATATGTAGGAAACGTATAAAGCTGTAGTGGCCGGAGTTTTCATTGTTTGACTTACAGCCCTTTAATCTCTTGCCAATGAGTATGGCAGTTGTTTTGTAAAGTGGTGTAATAGGTCAACTAGGAGATCACAAAATCGTAATGAGCAAAACGGGATGTATTGTTACCCACCATAGTGGAGGCAGTCATACTTTTGTATTTTGGGACAAGGGCAGTTGTCCAGTTAAATCATCCAACCATAGCTGGACTCACCTGTGCATGGAAATGTATATCTTGTCTCAGCGTACAAACTACTAAAGGAGGACTGACTGACAGACAGACAGACAGATGTCCATCTCCACTACACTAGATGGTTATATGCCTTTTTATAGCTAATTATTATCAGGTCTGTTATTTCACACATCAAAGCAATCAACAAACAAGTTAGCAAGAGGCTAACTGGTTGTATGCCCAACAGTTAAACAAACAAAGTCCTTTCTTCTGTTTTTGTTGAGATTTTGTTGATTAACCTGCTTTGCATTCTGCACATGCACAACACTTGAGTCAGTTTAAGGTTTGTGAAGGCAAGAAAAAAAAGGCTCTTCAGCTGCATTATCTGGGTATGCTCTGACTACACAAAACTAAACTTTGTGTAACTTCAGTCACATGCAAAGTCCAATTTTGGTTTGACTAATGCGATACATGGATTTTTAAACAAATCATTTGTATAACATTATGAGTACATTATCCTAAAAAAGCAACTCTATTCTATTAACCCCATGGATTCCTCATATCAATTATAATTTTCCCCAAATTTTTTTCCATTTTATTCCTTAAAAATGTGGCCCCAGTAGTCCTTTGTAATCTCATGATAATGTTATCATGATTATGATAATCATGAGGGGAAAATACCCACCTTTTTAGCTGAACATGTTGAGGCTTCAAATTATTATTTTTTTGGCAGCTAGCTATGTTTAGGAAAGACAGTTTTGCAGAGACAAACATCAGCATGCAGTATTTTCTTTGGAAAGGGGTCACTTCTGGCCTGTATGCTCTGTGAGGTTATTTTGGAAAGGGCTGCAGACAGTAGCTCTTTACTTCAGCCCACACTCACACTACGGTATATGTACACAATACAAATTCTAAATAAATATGGTAAATTCAGAGCTCCGAGTTATGCATTTCACTGTTGGTTTACAGTCCAATATGTCATACTGTCTCCCGACATAACACTGCACTCTTCTTGCCTTGTGTGTCACACATATTTTGCTGTCAACAGGGGTGAGTGTGCACCCAACATGAGGCACGAACCGCACTTCTGTTCTCACAGGAAAGTTTCACTGTTCCATGCCGTCTAGCTGTGAGAGTGATAATTGGCTAATGAGTAAATAAACAGCTGGAGTCCCTGTATTTTGGCTCCTAAAGTCGAAAAATCCTTAAATGCACAACTAAAACTGTGTGTGTGTGTGTGTGTGTGTGTAGGCCTCACACACACACACAGTCCCCTACGACACTCGTTCCAACACTACTGAGGTAAACTTGTCACAGAGGGAGCAGCTATTTGGAGGCCATCTTGTTGTGCAGGTCTCCCCAGCTGAACTGCGGGGAACAATGACAGGAAGGAAACAGGCTGGAGGTGAGTGAGGTGTGAGAGCCCTCAGAGTGTGCATCCAAACCCTCATTAACTCTCTGCTGCTTCCTCTCGCGCTGGCATCCCTGCCTTCCTGGGGCACATGCCAGTTACACGGATGGTACGTGTTCATGCAATTGTGTGTTAGTGTGTGTTGGTGTGTGTGTTTGCAGGCACCGTAATATCACTGTCACCACCGTTTGTTCCTTTGCTCCCCTCCCCTCCTTTCCTCCCTCCTACCTCCACCTGCATGCCTGCCCTCCTGTGTCAGGTTTTTGTGAAGCTTCCTGAAGCCACCGGATGGAGCGTAATTACCCTCTGCTCGCCGTGAACCCTCGCCCCCCCCAAAAACAAGCGCTCCCTCTGACTGTATCCATAAACAAACCAACACCCCCCCCCCCTCTTCTTCCTCCTCCTGTGCCACCCACTCATTATGGGCGCTCTTCTTCATGCTGCAGATCTGGTCAGAGAGTGCCCTGGAGTCTGACAGTAGCTTTTTAATGACATCTCAACATGGTAAGTGTTCACTAACAATACTGTCTTGTATAGTAGGTTCTGACCCGCTTCTTTAACCAGGAGAGGCAGCTATAAGTATAACCTACGACAGGGAGGCTGCTGCTTACTGCAAACGTATAAGACTCAAACAAAAATAAGCGCTTTATTTATCCCGTGGAGCACCAGCCCGCCCGCCCGCTCACCGGCCCCTCATTTTGCTAAAGCCCATCGCTTTAAGTAGCCTTGTCAGGAGTTGATGCCAGCCATTAAAGGCGGTGATGATGCAAGCCGACACCCCCCACTCTGACAGCCGCACTGTCGCCGCCAAGCTGCAAAGCTTTAATACATGACTAGGAAGGCGTCCAAAGACCAGAATAAATAAAGGAGGGGAAAGATGAAATACATGCGACAGTGAGGCAGACAGCTGAACAAACGCAATGACTTAGAAAATGGGCCTAACAGCTCACTCTTCCCCCACTCTTTACACAATCAACCATGTAAATTATTGAGATATCATGAAAAATAAATAGTTCAATAAAGATAAAGCTCTGCTAAGGCCCAATTATGCAGTTTAGCCGTGATTTTCTCCTCGGTAATGAATGGGCTGAAAAAGACGCTTGTTTATGTGGAAAACAGTGGAGATCTAACAGAACCTGCAGTGTCTCAGAGTATGGAGGAGATCCAAAGCAAAGA